CCAAACCATTTATAAACTGTTTAGAAGAGGAGGCTGGGCTAAAGCTCTACTGGACAGAGTTCATGTTTATGCACCTGTTTGCATATGAGCACCCCTACACCTCCCCGCTGTATCCCCAGCCCCCTAGCACAGTTGTGGAAAGAGCAGACACTCCATAAACAATTGTTGGACAGATGAAGGCATAATTTGGAGATAGACAAGGTTTCTAGTCTGGAAACAAGTGGCACACACTGGGCATGTTACAATATTTCAGTCAGGATTCTTCACTTTACAGTTGGTCTCCAAATATGGAGGCTTTTATTATGCTAATTTCCACAAAGAGTTTTAGTTAAAAATACTATGAGAAATTCCGAGGCACACATCCTATAAAGGATCTTCTGACTAAAGCTCTGGTCATATTCACTATATGGTTACTTTTGTAAAGTCTAGTCTCCCCCCATAGTGCTCAACACCCACTTTGTAACAAAGATAACATAAGTAAAGCACTGCAGTAACAGAAGGTGTATTTTTATGTTGCCGGTTCCTTCTGAACAAATTCTTTTCTCTCCCTGGATTTGTGAGGAAGGAGCAGGAGATAGAAGTAGAGAGAAACTCAAACCAGCTGTTGCTTAACAGAATTAAAATCATGACCCCCCAACCTCTTCTCTAAAGCATCTATTTTCCAGGCAACCCTCTCCCAGCAAGAAGCAAGTTCCAAGGAGGAAAAGACTTTGACCTTGTAACCCTCCCCTGCTCTCCTGAGGTCCATAACCTCAGATAAGAAAAAGGAAAAGCAAGTCTAGGGGGCCTCACATGCGGACTGTGAATTTAACATTTTAAAAACTGGTCATTCCTGGAAAATATGTAGGGAACTTCTCAGTTATTAATTTAATCAGATTTAGGAAGATGAATGATGGTTTTTCAACAACATACTTATTCTGGGTTTAAAGAGTTACTAAGTCAAGAGATACCGTTTATCTAGCCAGAAATACAGTTTTTATGTTGTGGGGGAAAAAACTCTTTTAGGGTGCATGGCTATTGTACAAAACAACAAGAAAAGCATTCCAACTGTACCCCCCCAACCCCCACTGCAAAACACAAACAAAAAAGCCCCAAAAGCTGTAGTGCCACAGCAGAGGACTTTTCTCTCTTAGGAGAATGAATGAACAGAGAGACGGATAAGCAAACTTGAGAGTGAGCACACTTACAAAGGTCACACGGTACACAACCTTGCTGTGAAAGGATACGGCAGGATTTTCACATTCTCTATTCTTTGAAGAATTAAAGTTTTAGTAGGAAGGTGTAAGTTAGTAATATTACAGTTTCTCAAAAAATGAGGAACTAGAAGAGGAAAAGATGTGGTAAAAGAATTTAATTCAAGGAATCAAAGTTGGCTCAAAGTTACTAGGTTAACTTTAGGGGTGAGAAGAATTCTTTGGACAAGCAGGGTGCTAAGAGGCTTTTCTTGCATGAATGACCTGGTAAATCTCCATTCCTAACAGAGACTCAGTTATCTTCTAATGACTGTTAATGACTCCATTGTTGCTATTGTCTTCCACATCCTGTATTTATTTTCTCCTGCCAGCTTTAGTTAAGACTTTGTGCTCCCAGGAAGAGGCCCTCAGTTGAAGTATTGTTCAGTATCTTGGTTAGCTCTAATTGAGTGTCAACAGCTTCAGGCTTTACCTGCAGATACCAAACTCACCTCACAGTGATGTGATTAAAGCAAAGCTTGGTGTGTTGGCAACAAGGATATCCTCATTCTTTATCGGGAGAATTTTTGTAGAATGATTTTAATGAAAAGAGAAGCAAAAATCAAGAGCATTTTTTAAAGGGCCTAATTAGCAGCCCTAGAGTAAAAAAAAAAAATCATTTAAATGCCTATGTAAAAATGTTTTTTGGGAACTGTTGTTCATTTCACTTAACAATAGAGAAATTCTATATTACACAAACTTTGAATCAGTAAGATACATACTGAAGACTTACTATATGTCTTTGATGGGCTTTCAAATAGTATAAATGTCTTATGGAAATAAGCATTTTTTAAAATGAGGAACTATAATATTACTAATTTACATCTTCCTACTAAAACTTTAATCCCTTAAAGAATAGAGAATGTTAAAATCCTGCCATAGCCTTTCACAGCAGGGCTGTGTGCAGAGGGACCCCTGTAAGTGTGCTCACTCTCAAGTTGGAAAGTACAGCTCCCCACATTCTGATAAGCTGAAATTTTGTCTCCTCCTCCACTGGGATGAGACTCCCCTTCTCCCACTTTTCAGAAGCCATCTAGCTGTGTGTTTGTCTTTTTAGGAGCCTAAAATTAAGTTTCATTTTTGCTTTCTGAACTTGATTGTTTCCAGTTTTCAAATTTGTTGTAAACACAGAAAATCAGATAATGGAGGGAAGCAAAAGGGGTTCTGGATCCATTGAAAAAACTACCACCATCACGTTTAAAGCCCCCCGACTCCCACCTCTGGGAGAATCTACAGACAGAAGAATGGAAGCTTCCCACATTTTCAGGTGCCAAAATACAGTCCTAAAAACCCTACTTTGGTGTTTAATACACAGAATGCAGAACAGGCAGAATTCCATGGGAAAATAAGTTTTTATTCTAAGAAGACTGAATGTGCTGAAAATGTACTCTTGAAATAAGCTTCTAAAAAGTATGTGTTAGGATTTTAAGAAGTCAAAGTCATTACCAAATCCAAGTCTTAGGGTAGCATTCACATGTCCCGGGTTCACCACTGCCTATTCAGCCAGTTTAGCAGTTTATGTATTAGTCTGTCCTGTTGAGACTTCAGATGCCCAAGGTACCCCTACTGTGTTTGGGTGTCTGGCTGGAGCCACAGCTGGGGCAGAGGTCGTGAGGCCAGGACGCCTGGTTGATGTGCATTCGGCACTCATCGGAGCTGGCTGATAGGTGCCTCAGCTTAGAAAGGTGATCATTTATTCATTCACATAGCCAATTATTAATTAGGGGTCACTTATTCTAGATGCTAGGGATACAACACTTAATAGACAACAATCTTTACCATCTTAGAACTAACATTCTGGTGGGGGAGATGCCCAAACAAGAAAATATGCAAAATGTACACTATGTTAGGTAGTGATAGGTGCTAACGAGAAAAAAAAAAACTTCTAGCAAGGGAACTATGCAATGCTGTGCGGGTCTCTGGGGATAGAGCCTTGCAGGCCAAGGAAAGAGCAAGTTCAAAGGTCCTGAGGCAGGAGCCCCCTGATGTGCTGCAGGATGAGGCAGGAGGGAGGGACCTGGAGGAGAGTCAGGAAAGGAAGAGTTACACAGGCTGGCGTGTGATAGGAAGGAGCTGGCTTTGGAAGCAGCATCAATTTATCAATCCCTGTCCTCAAGGCACTTACAGTTTAGCAGGAAAGGCAGAAGTTAAGTAACTAACTACACATGTGATAAATTACAGTTGTAAATGCTGCAGAACCTCCCTGCAATCCAAAGGAACATACTCCTGCTGAATGGCTGAATTCTGTTTAGTCCAAGAGGGATGTGGTGGTCTGACAAACTGAAATTATATTTTGCTAGATCGGGGAGGGACAAAATAGCCCATTTATCCTTATTGCTTCTGTGATTAAAGCAATCAAATGAAGAGAGAAACGGTGGACTGCTAGAGATGGTTCATAATTACTGAAGCTGTGCTAACAGAAACAAAACATAGCTTTTTGACCCCAGGCTGTCAATGCCAGCCCTCTACTTTTGAATGCTGTGGGGTGGGGGAAAGCGGCACTTACTGTGAAAGCCAGCCCTGTCTCTGTAGGAAATACCCAGATTTCATTCTCTGGGGGAAATACCCTAGACTTAGAGATGCAAAAGATCTCTGTGGGGCCAGTGAGCAGGTCCCAGGATGGTAAGAGGGAAGGCTCTTGGGGACAGTTTCTTTTCCTCCCCAAGTTACAGATGCGAGCATTGCTATGGAAGCCGGAAAAGGATCAGGAGGGGGGAAAAGTTATTTTTTGTTAATGGCTTTCCAAAGGGTTGTCAAAATTGGCAACATTTTTGCATAAAGTTTCTTTATCAAATCAAGAGTAGATACCTACATAATAAATACTGTTATTTAACCCATTTTCATACACTTATATCCACAGAGCACAAACAGGTTCTAAGGAAGAGTCAG